CCATTTTATTAAAAAGATTCACAAGATAACCAATTTGATCAAATCCATAACGGTTAGCAGAGTATTTGGAAGTTTGCAACTTAAAATATAAGAAAAGTAAGTGGTATCAAGAAATAATTAATGAATGAAATGTATTAATGAAAGAAAAATAGGTATGCTCTGTGCCTGTGAAACTCAGAGGAGGAGGAAAGATGTAACGCATCTAAATGAAGATGGTCTAAATTTATGGAGAATTGATTAATACATGCATGGAAAAGAAAGTGTAGGCTTAATTATGAATGAAAGGGCTAAATATATGTCAGAAAGTATGGACTAGTCTCATCTAGGTTAACGTGTGTGATATGAAAGTAGCAACTCATGCTCCATTCCAGTGAATAGTGATAATGGGAGAACCAGATATGAATTCTGGAAAAAATGTACAACATTTTAGATGAAAGCAATGGTGGAGGAAAGGAATATTTTGTTAGGTAGGAAAACAAGAAAAGTCTTTCAAAAGATCTCTGAACTCAGAACTAGGTTCTAACCTCAAACTGGTATGGGAAAGGACACCAATGGACACTGATTCAAAGGAGATCAAAGATGGAAGAAGTATACTGAAATACTGTACAGTAGAGATATCAACATCCAAGATACCTTAGAAGATTTTCCCTACTTACAAGAAACTCTAATACTAGATGAACTTAGATCAGCACTCCGGTCACTACCAAGTTGGAAAGCTGATGGAATACTGTAATGAGATGTAAAAATAACCTTGAGGAACAGGAGGAAGAGCCTCAACCAAGACAACAGTTAGATAAAAGAAATCTGAGTCCAAAGTAGAAATGTAATTTGAAAAAATGTCAGACTTGATCCTCTCTAGTTTCCTTAAAAATAAAAGCAGGGAGTGGGGAAGCGCATTCAGACTTGCAAGATTCTGTTACTGTACCCCTATAATAAAAGTAGTATTAGCATTCATAACTTTGGTTACCTAGTCTGGTCTACCTCAAAAGGCTGACAAATACCCATTGAAATATGGCAAGCAATTACAGAAGAATCAGTAGAAGTTCTAACCAAGCTCTACCAGCAAATCTGGAGAACAACACAGTGGCCAACAGATTGGAAGAGGTCAATCTACAGTCCAAAACCAAAAAAAGGAGACTTCACCGAATGTTCAAACTGTCATACAATAGCCTTAATTTCACATGCTAGCAAAATAATGCTTAGGATCACCTAACAAAGAGCAGAGCCCTACATGTACATGATGCCGGATGTTCAAGTTGGCTTTAGGCTGAGGAACATAAAATATTATTGCTGATGCATGCTGGATAATTGAGAAAGTGAAAGAATACCAAAAATAAGTCACTCCGTACTTCATTGATTGTAGAAAGGCCTTTGACTTGTGTCAATTACATCAAGCTATTGTCAGGGAAAAAACCACGTTAAACACGGGAGGCAGACACACCATAAAACAAGTCACTTCAAAGTTCTAAGTT